CAGCCAGGGCTCAGTGGGGGGTGGGGGGGAGGCAGCAGTAGAAGTAGAAATTTCTACCTCCCCACCAGGCTGCAGGGACGCCTTTCCTTTGTCAAACAAGAAATAGGGAATGAGGAGAGGAGCCTCTGAGTGTGTGTGCACATTTGGAAGATGGAAGTGTGCACGTGTGTGCGCCCGTGGGTTTGGATACAGACACGTGTGCACGTGTGAGCATGTGTGTGTGGGTGCACTTGCATCTGAGAGTGTGTCTGTCCACGAGGGGCTCGGCAGAGATGCAGGGGCCACTTCCGGCGTGGACATGCTGAGTGGGAGGTGCCCGCTTGGTAACCAGACTGAGATCTGGAGCCTGGAGAGGGGTCGGACCAGAGGAAATGACTGTGCTCTGGGGGGAACTAGCAGCCCCGGGAGCAGGGAGAAGTGAGAAGCCCCTACCTGAATGGGGGGACGGGCAAGTGCGGGTCAGCAGTTGCAGTGGGGGGGTGCCGAGGCATTGCAGGGGCAGGAGAGACGGGGCAGAGGGGAGGCGGGAAGGCAGGCCTGGGTAGCATGGATATCAGACTGTGGGCAGGGGAGGGCTGGAGGCTGGAGGGGCGGAAGATGGCACCAGCAGCTGGACGGGGGGGTGCCATGGAGGGCTCCAGGGGGCTCTGGACACAGGGTAGCATGAGGGAGCCCAGCCAGAGCAGGTCAGAGCCCAAGGAGCAGGTGGGGCCAGGAGAAGGTGGGGTTTCAGGGTCTACAGCCCTCGGGCCCCAACAGTGAGAACCAGATGGCTCCTTCCTCCCCATGTGTGAAGCCCCATAGCCTGGGTGGGGTCCCATGCCGAGTGGGGAGGTATCCGCAGGGCCCCAGACCAAGCCTGCCCCGTCTCCTGCCGTCCTGGTAGCTGGCGGCCCCAGGCCCGGGCGCCGTGGGGCTAATGCACCAGCCTCGGCCGAGGTCCGAGCTGGAAGCCGGGAGGGCGGGGGTCCCCGGTGCTCGCAGCCTAAAAGCCGCGCCTGGCACTGAGGGGCCTTCTGGGGCTGCTTCCGCAGGAAGTTCTCCCTGGACGACCTGCTGACCAACGTCATGCTCTACTGGACGACGGGCACCATCACCTCCTCCCAGCGCTTCTACAAGGAGAACCTGGGCCAGGGCTTCATGGCCAACAAGCATGACCGGTGAGTCTGGCTGAGCCCGCACGGGCCGCCCGCCGACGGGCCTCTAGGAGCAGCCGGACCACCCACCCTTGACCCCCAGGGAGGTCCTTTGATGGCAGAACCATAGGTGCCCAGGGTGCCTGGGATGAGAGCACGGTGTCACTTTGCTCATCGAGGGAATGCCGGGCCAGCCCCATGTGGCATCGGCGGTCCTGGACTTCCGGACCCTCAGGGGGCAGCGGTGGGGAAAGGGGAACGCAGCTGGGGGGGCTAGTGGCTGTCCTGTCCGGCTCAGCCGATGGGGAGCCCGCGTGTTCTGCCCGGCCAGCCCTTCTGGAGAAGGCGGCTCTAGTGGGTTGGACTTGAGGGGGTGGTGAGAGCCCTGGTCTCTCCTTCCTTTCTGGCTCCCTATGGGAGGGTGATCAGAGCCCCCTGCTGCGGGGGGACAGAGGGGACCAGGATGCCACCTCACCCCTCAGTGGGATCGCTGTGTCTTCCAGGATCAAGGTCCACGTGCCCACAGGCTTTGCTGCCTTCCCTTGTGAGTTAATGCACGTGCCAGAAAAGTGGGTGAAGTTCAAGTACCCAAAACTCCTCTCCTACTCCTACATGGCCCGCGGGGGCCACTTTGCCGCCTTTGAGGAGCCCGAGCTGCTGGCCCAGGACATTGGCAAGTTCGTGGGGCTGCTGGAGCAGGGCTGATGGCCGCAGGGCGGGCTGTCACCCCGCAGCTCCCTCGCCGAAGGCTGCCCCCGCCCCCCGGGCAGCTCCCGAGGAGCAGCGAGCCTCCCCCCTCCCCGTCTTCTCCTGGTGACAGTGTACACCCCCACGCCTGCTCCCGCCCCTGCCGGGCCCCTGCTCACTGCCTGCACGAGAGCAGGGGTAATAAATGATTTTATTCTAAGAGTGGCTGGAACCAGGTGACATGGGGCCCCCCCAGTACACCTGGCCGGTCGGCGGTCTAGGCTAAGAGGGGACCCTGCTGGCTCCAGGACACTCCACCCCCTCCCCGTGTCCTGGGCAGCGGGGTGGCGGGGGCTGGGCCACACACGGCCCCTGCGGGGTGGGCCCCCACGCACACCGCCCCCTTGCCCCTGGAGGCCGTGGGAGGCTGCAGTTCCCGCCCCCGCAGGGAGGAAAAGGACGGGGCCACCTGCCCTTCCAGCCAAGATCGCAGCCCACCCAACCCGGACTGGCCCACAGCCTTCCTGCTCCCGCAGCGGACTCCCGGGACCAGAGGGGGAGGGCTGGATTCAGAGAGGGGAGCCGGCATGAACCCCCAGCCTCATCTGGACCCCATCCAGCCTGGATGGCCGCAGGCTCTTTGGTTATGCACTGGTTGAGTGTGCGCCTCGAGCTGGGGGCTCCAGGGGGCTCCTGCATTCTCCCCTCTCCCCCGTACCTGGCACCATCACCACAGCAAACAGAGCTGTGGGTGCACAACTCCAACACATGATGCTGCTAAAACCCCAGGGACGGCTGGACATTTGTGCAGGAGGGGGACCTGGAAATGCCGGGCCCCCGGCAAGCGAGCGGGAGCACAGAGCTGCTCGGCCGAAAAGGCCAGTGCTCACCACCCGATGGTCGTCCTGGCCCGTCCTCCTCGGCCAAGGGCAGGCGCACCTTTCCAGTTCCATCTCTTGAGAGCAGCTGTGCTTAAAACAGGTGGGGCCTGAGTCAGGCCACTTTTCCGCCTGGCTCTCCTCTCCTGGCTCCGGGCCTGGCCCGGCCGCCCTCAGGCCTCCTGGTAGGCGGGCGGCCCACTGTCACTGGCCCCAGGGCCCCGGGCCGGGTACGGCCCTGGGACGGTCCCGCTGATGCTGTGGATGGCGCCGTAGGTCTGCCGCCGCTGTGGGGACAGGGCAGTTCTCTCCGAGGACAAGCCCTGCAGAATCCGGGGCACGTAGGGCTGCCAGAAAACGGGGGGCCTGAGTGCTCGGAGCGGGAGTGGGGGCCTGGGCAGGAGACTCCGGACCCAGTGCTCCCACACTCCGCCTCTGCTCCTCCCCAGAGCCGGGCTGAGAAGGGGATTCGGGCCATCCACCTGCCCTGCCTCCTCCCTGGTCTGCAGGGGCAGGTGCCCTGGGGGAATGAGTCCAAGAACCTTCTCTCCGCCGGGGCTGGTCCCAGGACAGACAGCCCTACGGACAGCCTGACCCAGGGGAGGCGGGGGCTGCAGAGAAGGCTGCCAGGCCCTGGCTCTGTGGGGGACGCTGGGGCCTCACGCGGCGGGCAGGCGCTGGGGCAACCCTGTTTCCTGCTCACTTCCTCGGCCACAGGCGCCCGCCAGGCCACTCCCGGAGAGGCCCAGCGGCAGGCATTAAACCCGCAGAGAAGGAACCCGGGCCGGAAACGGAAACCAGGGGGCGGGGCGGCACCTTGGCCAAACATGGCCTCACGTGGCCTCACCTGCACAGGGATTAGCCATTCCTTCTGGAACGTGGCTTTGCCCGTGCAGGTGAAGCGTCCCGCGGGACTAGGGATTCCTTCTGGAACCGTGGCTGCCACGTGATCAAGGCGCTTCCGTCCCCCGGGGAGCCACTCCGGCTCGGGAAGAAGCAGAACTTACCGTGAAGGGTGCCGGCCGGGGGGCGTCTGCCTCACTTCCTCTGTCGCTCCCCGAGTCCTCCATCTGCAGGTGACAGCAGAGACTCGCCATGATCAACAAAACCGGGCTCCCTGAACTAGCACCCTCCAAACACACAGACTGTTAACAGCCGGGATCCCAGGACCGGCGCGCGCCAAGCTCCCAGCAGCCGAGGACGGGGAGCCGGGGGGGGGGGGCGGCGGGGAGAAGGCCACCAGCTCGCGGGGCTGTGACAAGTGGGGCACGTGCCCACCCCCTGCTCCTCCCACATCCCCTCACCTTGTAGTTCAGCGGGCTGAGGTGCCTGAAGCATCCAAAGCAGGTGTAGGCCACGCAGACCAGGATGGTGAGCAGCACGACCAGGAGGGTGAACAGGGTGAGGGGGGCCTTCAGACCTGGGGACAGAGGGACACCAGCCATGCTGGAGGGGGAGAGGGGCAGCTGGTGCAGGAACCATGTGTGACCTCTCCCACGGCCGGGAGCACCCAGGGGGGCACCCGCTGAATGGCTGGCATTATCCCCGGTCAGATTTCAGGAACTGGGACCCCAAGTCAGTGTTCAGCTGCCCGCTTCCTTGCTGGGCCGGCTCCCGGCAGGCTCCACTGCCCTGGCTACATGGGATGGAGGCCCCCCTCACCTGACCGGGGCTCGGTCACAGCCCTCCTGCCTTTGTCGTTTGCCGGAGAGTATCCCCCTCTCCTCCTGCGTGCTCCCACCTCCACCCTGTGCTGAGAACTCGGTCCCACCTGTGCCCCAAAGGGCAGCCTGGACCAGCCTGCCCCTCTCCGGTTCAGGCCCTCCGCGCGGATAAAGGGACCACCTTCTCTGTACAGCTTCTCTGCTGACTTGGGGTCCCCAGGGTCCCCCGGGCTCCGGCCAGCTCAGGAGCGGGGTGGTCAATGCTGCCCCCAACCAGCCCTCGCCCGGGCACCGTGTTCTGATTGGGCACCAAGGTGAGGGACCTGACAGGCTGCTATGAATGGGGACTGGGAGGCCCCGGGCTGCCTCCTGCGTCCACCCCACAGCCTGCCCTGGTCAGAAGGGCCCCTCACCCAGGCGCAGGAAGGAGAAGAAACAGAGCCAGAAGAGGCACAGGATGGGAGCAGCCAAGGCCTGGTTCACGGCCGCCAAGTGGATCCTCTTCTCCAGCTTGGCCGGGAGGTAGGCGAAGTAGAGGTTGTGCCGGTCCACCATGTGCTTGAGCAGGATGTAGATGAGGCCTGCAGAGATGGGCTGTGAGCTGCAGACCTGGCTGGGCCACGGGGCTCCTCCACCTGCTGCCTCCTGGGGCTGGTGATCTGTCCGATCGCATGAAGCCCAAGTAGGGCTAGATGCAGAACCTGGCTGCTCGCGTCCTCGTTCTTTCTCTCTCTGCTCCCCCCTCCCAGCCTCTCCCTGACACCAAGGAGTAGAGGTGTCTAGGACCATTTTGCAGAAAGAAGCTATTTTACACCCAGATGCCTGGCCTCAGCTTCGTCCTGGGCCCTCCCCCGCGAGCGCCCCCCCCATCCTTCAAGGCTCCCCCACTCTCCTTCCCTTCCCCAGCCATGCTGACCCATTGCACCCAGCAGTCAACAGCTGCCCGAGGGTCCTGCCTCAGGGGCGGCACAGAAGGTGGGTGCTGCCTCTTTGATCGTATCATGCTTTTTACAAAATTGTTTCGTTTTTGAAGAGTAATACTATACATTTTTTAAATAGTTCAAGAGCATACAGGGAAAACTAAAACCTCCTCCTGCCCTGAAACCTCAGCTAGCAAGGCCAACGGTCTCTTGAGTGTTCTGTTTCCTTCCAGAATCTTCCATCTGTCTGCAGTTCTGATTTTTATTTTATTTATTTATATATGTATATTTTTTTGGTGGCAAAATCGAGGAACCTGATGTTTATTTTAGTGGCAAGGTCTTGGTCTCTAAAGTCAAACGGTCCCCGGTTCAAATGCCGGGTCTACTCCTCACCCCGTCCCACTGGTGCTTCATCCGCGAAACCAGACCTGCCTCGCAGGCGTGCACCACGCGGCACGGTGAGGACCGGGACACGGGCTCGAGCTAGGGCTGCTGGTCAGCGGTACAGCCGCTCAGGCCCCCACCCCCGGGCCACTCACCGAAGGGTGCGATGATGGGGCAGGTGATGCTGTAGGCCATGATGACGGTGAAGACACACAGCATCCATGCGTACATGGCCCCGAACTCATACTGGAACGCCTGGTTCTGGGCGGGGAGGCCAGGAGTTCACTCGGGGCCACCAGGGGACAGCGCGGAGGACGACTTCAGAAACGGGAGGTGCGCAGCTCCCCCTCCCCGGCCTCTCGGGGTCCCTGTGTCCTCCGCAAGACCCCAGCCTCGCTGGGCTCCCACCCAGGCCACCAGGATTCGCGGGCCCTTCGTGTCTCCCTCGATCTGATCACGTCAACCCAGCAGGCTGGGAGGTGGGGGGGCAGAGGGCGGAGAGGGTGCTCAGGACAGACAGGAGAGTGACCCCCCCAGGCTCCGGGGTCAGACCCCCGGGGAGCCACCCGGCGCGGAGGCTGGGGTCCTGGGAGGCAGTCTATATGCCGTCCCTGCCCGCCGCGCCCCTATACCTGCTTGATGTTCCTGCGGTCAGCCGCTGTCTTGGCCATGAACATGCGGAAGGTGTAGAGCACCAGGCCCGGCAGCCGGACCAGCTCCATCCCGTTGCCGATGAAGGCCGAGGCAATGACGTAGTTCACAAAGAAGGCGCCCTGGTCGGGCAGGAAGACGCACCTGGGGGGCCGCGGGGGGTGAGCTGAGGTCCAGGAGCCTCTCTGCCACCAGGGAAGGCACCTCCACAGGGCTCACTACTCCTCTCCTCCCCGGGTGGCTCCGTTCTCAGGAATAAGTCTCAAAGAATGAACAAGACGGCCACCAATGGAGTTTCGGCCTCAGAGATGAACCATGTTTCTGCACATGAGGCGCAAAGTAGGTCAGCCCCCTCGGTGCCTGCCGAAGGATCTGCCCGGCCTCACCCCGCCAGGCGCCTGGGAGGGGTGCTGGGGTCGCAGGAGGAGAGGACTTCCCGGGGCAAAGACTACCCACCCCCCCATGCAGCCCCAGCCAAGCACCCAAGGATGTGTCCCTGGAACAGCGGCTCCCAAATGCAGTGTGGACAATCCTTACTCCAGCCTGATGTAGGCTTCTGAGGAAGTTTTGTCAAAGAGCCACCGGAAGAAAAAATCCAGACTGGGGAAAAAACAAAAAGAATGCCGTGAGCACTTCTGTCCCTTGCTCCCTGTGCTCACTATGCATTTTCACGTTTTTCTGCTCTAAGCAGCAGGTGGAACCTCCAGGTCCACGTCTCTTGTCTAAGGTGCCCCTTTGCTCCAGCATCACCGATCAGGGCCGGCTTCCATAGCAACTCCCCCCTTAAAGCACACAGATTCCCCTTTCCCGAGGGCGACGGTCCATGCTCCGTTTCGTGTTCAAGCTTCATTTAAGGAAGAAAGACCATATTTCCAAAAGAATCAGTGAGCCAGCCCAAGGGCACCCCAAGTGGGTGGGCCCAGCGTGGATGTCGCCAGGGATTGGCATGCACCCCCAGACCACTTCCCCTCTCCCGGGGACAGACAGAGCTCTCCAGAGGTGACCGGATGTGAATTCAGGGCAGGAGGTCGTGGTGGGTACCTGGTGAGGCCGAGGGAGGGCAGGATCAGCACCATGAAGATCAAGAATATGTAGACTTTTGACATCATGATCCGGTTTTCTCCTGACCTGCAGGAAGCCAGAGGTGGGTCCCCCCAGTCCCCTAAGTGCTCCTGGCGACCCGGGAGGCCCCTGCTGGGTGCCCGCTGCCCTGGGGGCGGGGGCGGAGGGCGCATGCCCTGCTCACTCACTTGGTCCAGTGAGACTCCAGCAGCGTGGAGTAGTACACAATGGTGGGCAGCAGGGCCGAGAAGGACCACAGCAGGAGGGTCGGGAAGAACTGGCTGATGATGGGGTCCTGGAAAACAAGGGCCACGGAGGAGACAGGTGGAGGGGCGATGGTCTCCTGGTCATGCTACCCCCAACCCCACCCCGGAGCCAATGCTGGGCCTGGTATGGGGTAGGTATTCCATCACGTTGGCTGAGTGGGCCGTAACCGCCCTGGACTTCAGTATAGCTCTTTGGAGCGAAGAAAGGAACTTCACACACAGCTGATGTCCGCCTGTCCGACTGACCAGACCCATCGCCCCCTGGCTTCCCTCTACACAGCGAACAGTGACGGCCAAGGGGAGCGGGCATGCTGAAGCGGGGCCTCCCCAGACGACCGCCCGCTCAGCTCCCGCCGGCCCAGTGGGGGCCAGTCCTGTGTGTGCCCCCTGCACTCACGGCTGCTGTCACACGAGCCAACCAGCTTACTACTTTCCCTGATAAAATGAGCACAACCATAGAGAGAAAACTTCATGAAAACAAGGTGGCGTACTTCAGAAAGACTCGATAAAGGCCAATTCCTAAAAAATGCTACAGAACCAGGGGCGCCTAATTGGCAAAGGCGTGAATATTTACAGGCTGTAAATGCTCCGACCACACATTAGCTCACGAGGTCACCATCACCACAGCCCCGTGAAGATGCTAAGGTAGGTGCTTTCACTCCAGCCGTCGGATGAAAATCCGAGGCTCAGAATTCATCAGCCAGGGGACGGCGGAGCGAGGATCAGGGCCTCAGAACCTCCTGCCCTGCGTGCTTTCCCAGCATGATTAACTGAACGCCAAGCGGAATTGGAAAAAAGAAAAAAGACTTAGGGTGATGTTTCAGCAGAGCTAGTCATGGGAAACCAATACCTTTTTAAGCAGAAACCAACTTAGGGAGTGTTAGCTATTCTCGATATATCTAAGATTTTAAAAAATAATCTATTATCTAGATTCTATGGTTTTGTAACAAGATTATCGGATGCCAGAACGTGAAAGAAATAGTTGCACCCTGCTGCCCCAATCTGTGAAGCACTTGTCACTCCTTCCTACCCCCCCAGCCCCCCCAGCCCTCCCCAGGTCCGGTGTCAGCCACCTGTCTGGCCTGGGGGACACGTTGGGGAGCTAAGCTGTGTCCACAGGCCACTGGCGAGTCTTGAGCAGGATGCGGGGGTTAGGGCAGCCCCAGCAGAGGCCCCAGCAGGAGCGTCCTCTGTGCACGCGTACCGCTGGCCGCACCCCTGCTCAGAGACGCTGCTCCCGGCTCAGTGCCCTCCCCTGGCTCCCGTTCGCCCAGCACGCCTTCTTGCAGGAGGGGCCTTGCAGCATGGTCACTCACGTTCAGCTCGTGGATGGGTTTGGTGACATTGAACTTGTCTATGGTGGACAGGATGATGGAGGGCGTGGTCAGGAAAAACAGCCCCACGAAGAGAGTGAAGTTGATGCCCAGCCACTGGAACCACCAGCGGAAGCCCTGGATGGAGAGGTTCTTCCTGCAGAGGGGAGGACACAGGCCCTGGAGACTTATCTCCCAGGCTCTGGCTGCCCACCACGCCAACAGCAACCGGAGTAGGTGGGTCAGCAGGTCAAGCTTAGACACGGCAAGGCACCAGACAGAGGGCTCCAGCAGGGGGCTCGTTTCGATCTCAGGAGTACAGGCAAGTGCTCTGTACTGACCTTCAGCTTCAGCCATGTCAAATTTGGGGTCCCTTTGAGCTCAGAGGGAAAACAGGCTATCCACCACGAACATGGCTCCCCGGCAACAGCAGGGGGGCCAGAACCCACCAAAGAGATGCCATGAGCACCCAGGCAGCAAGGCTCTGACCCGGTACGTCTCGGCCATGTCGGCAGCCTTGGTGACTAGTGACACATCCTCCCCAGCAGGGCCAGGGGCTGGGTGCAGGGAGGGGGAGGCAGGGGACAGAGGGGCCGGGGCCCCACTGCAGCCTGTCCCGGCCTCCCACCCCACCAAGAACAGACAAACCACCCTGAGTTTGGTAAGCCCTGTGACGTGAGAAGCAGGACCTTCGGAGGCCAAGCTAGAGCCAGTGGACAAGAGCCCCCAAAGCTCACTCTCGGGGTGGGGGACTGTGGCCAACCGTGCTGAGGCCTCTGCTGGGGCTGCCCTCACCCCTGCATCCTGCTCAAGGCTAGCTAATGGGCCCGTGGACACAGCGTAGCTCACCAGCGTGTCCCCCAGGCCAGACAGGTGGCTGCATGGAGGGGGGGTGTACAAGAGCCGGGCCCACGGGGAGCCTGCCTGGCTGCTGAGCCTTGCAGCGGGGGTCCCAACCAAGGTAACATACACACTACATTTCAAAGATACTAAGTATGAGAAAGAGAAACATCTCAACTAAAAAATAACTGATCCCGTGTGGAAATGATACTATTTTCCATATTTTAGATTCACTGGAGTGAAGCCCGGGGCATGGACACCCCCCCACACACACATATCACGCCCCCCAGCCCTGGCCCAGAGAGAAGCAGGGGCCACGTGCGGACCTCCCTGACCGCCAGTCCCCGCCCGGGCTTCCAGGTGACGGGGCAGCTCCTGCAGGCCCCAGGGCCTCTGTCCCACCCCGGCCCGGCCTGGGGGCTCACCAGCAGATGTCCTCGGGGTAAGTGGCAAAGGCCACTGTCCATTTGGAGGTGCGGAGCTCCCTGCTGCTGGAGGACGGCTGGGGCTCACCTTTCCACCGCAGGCTCTGACACTTGCAGGCATTGAAGTCTTTCAGGATGCTGACGGGAAAAGCAGAAGTGGCCAGGGCCCGGCCACCCGGGGGCCACGTACAGACATGGGAGATGGGACCCAGCGAGAGTGGGGCCCCTGGGGCAGGGGACCTTGGCTTTATTAGTTTATTACAGGTAATGCTTAGAAAAGCCTTGCCTGGCACCCTCCAGGGAGGATTCCGTCGAATCCCTAGAACAACCCGGCAAGCCAGGGAGGACTCCTGCTTTACGGATAGAGAAACTGAGGCCCTCCCACTTAGGCGTGCGCCCCATCCGTCTGACTCTGCCTCCCACGCTGTTGCACGGCCTCAACCCGCCGCTCCTCCCCGGGCCCCCACCCCCCCGCTCACCCCGGCTGGCGCTGTGGGCTCATCCTGTGGCCAGGCCAGGGTCTCACCGGCCCTTCCCAGACTCCTTCCCACTCTGACACCCACCCCAGGACGGCCACCTCACCCCTCTCCATCTCCGTGCCCACCCACCCCCGCTCCTGCCTTGGAACACCCCTTTCCACGGGTGCCCTCCCGGCTCTCCCCTTGTGGCAGGGTCCATTCCTGGACCTGTGCTGCCGCAGAGAAGGCAGGGGGAGGGGCATCTGTGTGGCCACCTGCTGTCCCCAGTGCTCTCCCAACCCCAGGCATGGGACTGCTCTGGGAGCCAGCGCCCCTGCCTGCACCCTGCAACCCTCCCCAGGCCTCGGCTCTGCAGAAGGGAGTGCCCCGAGTGCCCAGGGGGGTGTGCATTTGTACGGGTTGGGAAGCCGGGGCACAGAAGATCTGAGGTCCAGAGTGGACATCTGAAGGAGGGCAAAATGCTGGACAGAGGCAACGGGATCCCTGGGGCAGCTGGTGAGAGCCTAGCAGGAGGGTGAGTCTGCAACAACCCGAGAGGGATCCAAAGAATCACCCCCGGCCAGCTGTCACAAGCACAGGCTGGGATGAGAGGGAAGGAGATGGAAATGCTACCGGCAAATCCCTGGGATGGATTCCGCAGGACCACCTGCATCCGACAGGGACAGCAAGTCACCTGGAGGGGGACGGGGAGTCGGCCAGGGAAGGGTCCCACTCACTAGGTGGCCATGGACTTCTCCTGGAAGGTGACAAAAGCCATCCCCAGCGGCCGCTCCTGGACCCAGCACTGCTCCTCGGCGATCCTCTCGGTCAGCCGGTCCTTCAAGCGCGTGTAGTAAGCGATGGCGTCCTCCTGCCGGCGGACACACCCCCCGTGACCACGCGGCCCTGTGGGGGTCGGGAACCCCGTGGCGCGCTCCTGCCGGGGCCGGGCCCTCACCCACTCACACCCCGGCACTTCACAGAAGCAGAACTGGCCGCAGGGCTTGGGGTTGATGAGGGTCCACTGGCCTGTCTTCGCCCGCAGGTTCGTGTAATAGCTCAGACTCTTCTCTGCCTTCTTCCTGCGGGGGCGGGGGGGAGGGGAGCGTCAGCCTCGCCCTGACCCTGTGGCGCACATCCCCCGCCACCGTCCAACCACTGGCCGCCACCAGACCCAGGAGTTCAGAGCCGCCCTGCTGCCTTCCCCAGCGGGGGCTCCGGCCACGCCAGCGGGAGGGAGGCAGGGGCCTCAGCGGGGGAGGGGCCCATGCCGCCCGTACCTCTCCTTGCACAGGTGTAGCAGCCTGGCCACGTTGTAGCACAGCTGGACGTCCAACAGCTCACACGTGGGGTACGCGTCCCTGTGCCCGAAAGATGCCCGTTGGAAAAGAGGACCCCCAGGCAGGGAGACCCCCAAGTCTCCAAGGCTTTTTGTGTGCCAGTAGAGAGCTCTTTTCTCTTTATTTTTTATCAAAGGGGGAAATTTTGAAATGTAATACAAAAAGGCCTTTTTTAATAGCATGAAAGTCAGTGCCTGCAAGTGACAGGTTTAGACCCTCGCGGCTTTAAATTAGCAGGCGCTTCTGGCAAAGGCTGAACACCATTGCTGATGTCCTCCACCCACCCAAAGGAAGAGATTTATCATTGGCTCTAGGTCACTTTGACCTTGGACCATCACCGAAACCCTATCCAGTGTGTGACCCTTTTGAAGGTCACAGACATTTCAGGTTTAATGAAAGCAAAGACCCTCAGCCCAGAAAATGTCTGCACACGCGTTAACCGTCATAGTAAGATCGCATCTACTTGTTCGTATGCTGTGCGTACCCTTGCTATTGGCAGGTACCGTTAGACGATTAACTGAATCCTCATCAGAATGTGGGAGGCTTCATCCCCATTTTCCAGATGAGGAAAATAAGGGTCAGAGAGGTTATAGGACTTGTGCCCCAGGCCACACAGCTGGTGGCTGTCGGAGCCGCGATCTGAATCCAGGCAGCCTGGCACCGCCGCACGATGCTCCCTCCCCAGACACACAAAGTCCTCACCCACACATGCCATACACCCTCTGGGTCCATCTTCGTGAGACAGACAAAGCCCACAGGCATGTCAGCCATTGATTTAAACAGCAGGATAAGCCAGGATCCCAGGAAGAGCACCAGGGAAGGGAACTCCAGCGTGAGCATCCCGGCCACAGGGCAGACGCCCACGTCGGTCCCCAGGGATTGCCGCAGCCGCATGCACCAAAAGGGCCTCCTAAGCTAGGAGATCTCTGATCCAGTGTCTGTATGGTAGGAGGGGTCTTTTCTTTTCTCTTTAAGATTATACATCAAACGAAACAATGGTTTTCAGTGTTGCCCAGCAGGCCCCTTGGGAGGTATTTCAAGGAACAGAGAAAAAGCACGCCAGTATCTGTTTACATAAAAGAGTATTTCTAAAATACTTGGAGCTTCTGAAAAGGTTAGTCAATACATTTAAACACTCATTTTACAACTCTTTAGCGTTCTTCACAAATGGTGCTCAGTTACACCATCCTCCACCCCTAGTCCGCTCTACAGACTAGTGACTGCTGAGCTGGTGGGGAGTGAAGACGGATAGAAGCCTGGCTCCCTTGCCTGCAGCCCAGGGGGTCCAGGGGCCTCTGCACCTGCTCTGTCCCCCCACCCCTGTCCTGATGCTCCATTCCCAGCCCTGCACATGCTTCCTCTCCCCACCGCCCCCCTGCAGGAGCCCTGGGAACAGGTGCTCAGCGGGGGCTGCCGGGAAGGAGGTCCTGCCCTGGAGAGCTTGGACTCACTGAATGGTGAGCTCTGTGAGGACAAGGCTCTGGACACACGTGCCCCCTCCCCAGATGCCCGAGGGGCGGAGAGGCCAGCTGCAGGCCCTCCCCTTCGGAGACCAGCTCTGTCTCAGGCTTCGGTCTCTGCACAGCTGATGCTGAGAAACCCACAGCAGATCATCTTCCCTGTGCTCTCAAGGGCCTGGCCTCCTCTCCAGCACCTGCGGTCACCCGGGGCGGCCGTGGTGGCCGGCAGAGGGTAGGCCGCCCCAGCCGGAACCCTTCCATGGCACCAGCAGCCACGCGATGACCGTGTGGCAGGGCCAGGCCCTTCTCCAGGTCTCCGAGTGCCCGAGCAGAACACGGAGTGCTCCCCTAAGGCACCTGTCCCACCCACAGGGGCCGCAGCCCCACTCACCGGAAGTGGCTCTCCACACTCTCCTTCTTGGTGTCTCTGGGGAGGCCCGTGATGAACAGGGTCCGCCTCACCTGCGGAGAAACGTGCCAGGGAGAGGAGTCACCGGGCAAGCCCGTCCGCAGGCGGGCTCCGCTCTTCCGCCCTGTTCGAGCCTCCCCGAAGGAAACAGCAGGAGCTCGGAAGGCTCGGCTGCTCTGGGCCACCTGGCGGAGCCCTGATGGATGCCGTGCCCACAGCATCGCCTTCCAGACTGTACACACAACACACGTCCCAAGCAATTCTGCGAGCCTCCCTTGCATGACGAGAATGGGAGAAGGAACCCAGAGAGGGTGAGGGACTCAAATGGGGTTACACAGCAGATGAGAGGAGGACCCAGGCCCAGAACCAACTCACAGAAACTCCTCCTCCCCATCAAGCTGTGGGTTACAAAGAGAGAGGGCTGCTCCCAATCCGAACTTCGAGAAGGTACTTAGGATAGGCAACTATAAGCCCGGACCCCACAAATTTAAGGGCTAGTTGGCAACACAGAAGGGGATAAATCCATGTTCTAAAATAATCCTAATTTTTTTTAAAAGAGAATGTCATTTTTGAGTGCAGACATGCCAGCCACATTCCACAGAGGCCCTCTGTTGAAGCTCACTGCTCCCAAGTCCCGGGCCATCTGCCCGCCCGCTGGGGATGCCACTGGGCTCTGACCCCCCTGGGCCCCCAGCCGCACTCACCAGGCTCTCCTCCTTGTACCGGATGGACTGCGTGTGATGCCGCATGAAGCCCACGGTGAGGATGAGGTAGAGGACAGCGAAAACGGTATGCAGCCAGAGAAGGTCATTGCTGGGGGGGGCCGGGACACCACCTGCCATCAGGGCTGGGCTCCCAAGCCAGGGTGGGGGTGCAGGGGCTGGGCCCGGGGTTCCCTCACGGTGCTGAGCTGAGGGCCAATGGCTCCATCCCAGCAGATGCCTCCAACAGCGGCCTCGTGGCCAGTGCCCCTCTAGAGCGGGGGGCCACGGGGCCATGTCCATGCCCACCACCCAGCCACACGCGCTGGCTGCAGAGGGGCTCTCGCACATCGGCCCACTGGCTAAGGACTCTCTGCCCTCCCCTTGGTCCCCGCCCTGTCAGCACCCTCAAAGCCCCCACCCCATACTCACTCGTTCTGCAGGTTTGCTATCGTCGTCCTCCCAAAGCTGTAAGGGTCTTTGTCTGCAGAGAAGCAAGACACATAGTTCCAGGGTCAGGCTAGGGGAGGGGAAGGGAGCACGGCAGCCTCGGTGTGTGGCTCGGGACCTGTCAGAGGACCTGACCATCTGTCCAGTATTTTCAGAGCTCCACCAGCCAAGGCCTCTGCTGTACCTGACAACTTCTCCCCAACCCACCATGTGGGGAAGTCAACTTTGAATTCCTCTTGCTCTGAGATTCTTGTGACATTCCATGAGAAATCTAAAATCATCCTAAGCTGGGCCCAACACCAAGTTGGGAATCACTGGAATCCACTTCTTATAAGTGGATTTTTGGGATGCCCGGCTGGCTCTGTCGACAGGGCACGCGACTCTTTTTTTTTTTTTTTTTAAGATTTTATTTATTTATTTGACAGAGAGAGAAAGAAAGAGCACAAGTAGGCAGAGCTGCAGGCAGAGAGAAGGAGAAGCAGGCTCCCCGCGGAGCAGGGAGCCCGATGCGGGGCTCAATCCCAGGACCCTGGGATCATGACCTGAGCCGAAGGCAGACGCTCAACGACTGAGCCACCCAGGCGCCCCAGGACGTGTGACTCTTGATCTTGGGGTCGTGAGTTTGAGCCCCACGGTGGGTGGAGAGACTACTTTAAAAAAAAATTTTTTTTAAGAAAAAAGTGGATTCGTGATGGCATTTTGGAAGCTGGCTTCCTGCAGTTGCTTGGAAACATTGTTCCACACTCCGATTTTGACTTTGAGCATCACGAACATCTTCCAGATCACTAATTATGTCCTCCTGATTGGGTGGGGGCAGGAAAGTGGAAAGCACTCTCCAAAAGCCTGATTTGACAAATCTTGGGGTTTTATTCCTCATACTCGGACAGAATCAGAAATTGACGGGGGGGGGGCAGCTCTTGGCTGGGGGCGGGGGTCTTCTCTAGACCTTTGGGCAGAAGGGAAAGTTCCGAGAGTCACCTCGAGGACTCCTCATGTCTGAATCCAAGCATGAGTCCTGGGGTTCTGCCCTATCACAAAGAGCCCCGCGGCTCTGCTCAGGCCTGAGTCATGCAGGACAAGGGGTCATTACCCAGGAGGTCACCCGAGAGGTTGACAGGCAGGATGATGCACAGGGACAAGCAGCTGACCACCACCAGCAGGAAGATGATGTGTCTCTGGAAGGACAGGTAGTGGATGGCGTCCTCCCCACACCACTCCAGGATCTGGTCATCGCTGGCCAAGACACGCACATGGAATCTCAGTGAGCGGCAGTGGCCTCACTCAGTCCTCAGGACCATCTGGGAGGCGGGTTCCCATCCCACCCCCACCGCTCTACATATGAGGACGCAGCCCGCGTCCCCGGTCACACAGCTTGTGCGGGCACAGTAAGGATGGGGCCTCCTGAGCCTGCCCCGTTAGCCCGCCGCACCGCACCCCCAGGAAGCTGCCGTCTCAGCAGCCATCTGTGCAGGGGCGAGGCGTGGAAGCTCAGCCGCACCGCAGCCCTCCCCGCCGCTGTGAATAAGCAAAGTCACGGCAGGGTGGCTGCCAGGCTCGCAGCCCCCACTCTTTCCCGGTGCCCCCCTCAGGCAGGGGGAGCCAGTTCCCGAAGCATGGAGCATTCGGGACTCAGGCCCTCTGCTGCCCCACCTCCTCCCTGCGTCCTGCGGTGGCGGGGGGCCCACAGGCGCTCCACCCTTTCCTGGGTGCCATATTTGGAAGCTCCAGCTGGCTTGGGGACCTGGAAAATTCCAGAGGCCGACAGCCAGACCTCTGTGCCATGGACACAGGATGGGGACCCCTCTCCCAGTCCCCTGACAGGGAGCTGCCCCAGGATCCAGCTTCCGGAAGGAGTAGTGATGAAGACTCAAACCCATGAATGAGCAATTCTCATTCACGGTGTTTCTGGGGACATGCCTCTGCCTTCCAATCTGGCTAGGAAAGGCACTTCTAAGGACCCTGCGGGGCCTCTCTGAATGTCGGTGGGAATGCTGGCTGTCAGCAGCTGCTAGGTTTAACTGTAGCCTCGGAAACATCAAGCTGCTGTCCTTTCTGTGATAGGGACAGACGGGGAGAAAACCCGCGGAGCGGAGATGGGCCAGCATCATGGTGACAGACAGGATACACGGCAGCACCGTGACAGCCCCTCCATGAGAAGTGCGTGTCCATGCGGGGGGCGCAGGGGGTGCTGGAGGTGACACAGAACCATGAAAACGGGGCCGAGGGAGAGGAGCCCACTGCAGAGCAGATCTGCCCACCGCCTTTACAGGTTACCATGGAAATGATGAGTCAGTGTCCCCTGCTGCCCCGCCCAGCCCAGGGGTAGGGGCGTGGCCTGAGCCCCACCCAGCCGCACCCCCTGCCCCAGTAGCCAACTGAAGAACATGCCCTGGGCGTCCCTCAGGGGGAGGGTTCTAGGTGTCCTCAAATTTGTTCTCACTGATTCTTTTCCTTCTGTGATGGACTTATTGCACGGAGTATGTTATGACCTCCAGCGTCAGGAGAAATGCCTCCTGGTGACACGATTTTGCGGTGGTGGAGAAGGGTGGGGTTGGCAAATGCACCTCTCCCCCTTGTACAGTTGGGGAACCTGAGGCCCAGAGAGAGGGACATCCCCAGCGTCCCGTAACTGCTGGATATCATCAATTCTGAGAGGTGCTTCGCATATCTCGGCACCTTGAAAGGGTGCTGCCTACGACCGCAGCGGATCCTGCTTGATAGGGTTTCTCTCTGCAGGCCCCACATCTTAAAAACAAGGCCACTTTTAACCCAATGAGGTGAATGTACTGAAGCATCATTCTTTCTCCTCTCTGCACTAAACCAGACACGGAAGCCTGCCGGGAAGAGCCTCCGTCGGGCGTGCTGGTGTTAAATACCAAGGGGCCATCGTTTCTACCTAGAGCACAAAAACTCAGTTCCGTGAGCTTGTGCAGGAGCTTCTGGGCCCCCTGTTCTTAGCCCCCACATTCTGTTCTGGGCCTGAGCTAAGAAGCAGCTAAGAGACCCCCATCTCGGGGTTGGGCATTTTGACCTTTCCTTCTCACAGGCCAAACACGCTAACCACCCCCCCCAGACAAAGACCGACAGCCAGACACCCCCCCGCTCCCGCTCCGACCCACACGCAGACACGGGTGCACGCGCACACCAGCCACCTGGGCCGTACTCACTGTAGGCGGAAGATGGCAGTCAGCCAGGGGCAGCATCCCTGGAAAGGCAGAGACCAGGGGTCAGCCGTGGACGTGTGTGTCTTTAGGAGGCAGATGTGATCCACTGTCCGTGCCCTAAATAACCACCTACCCTCCCGTGATGCAAAAGCAACGCTTTTGTCCCAAATTCAGGAAGCTACCACGTGTCCCCAAAGTGACAGGGTCTCCACGCTCCCAGTCCTTTGTGACAGGCACCCTATGCCTGGAACTCTTGCAAAAACCTCTCAAGCTTTGACAATTTGCAGAATCATACAGGCTCCAGGGGCAAATGCTGAACTTGAAGAGAGAGCGGGAGGGTGCTCAGGAGAGCCTCAGAGAAGCTTCCGCGGGCTTCTGTTAGGTTGTCCCGAACGACGGGCTGAGACGTGGGATGGATGCAGGGAGACAAGCCTCGTGGATGGGACAGTCCCCCCCCGGAGTGGGGTTACGGAGGGAAGAGGGGGTCTGTAGGTTTTACTGTCCATCGCGTCTCTTACGCACAATCCCCCCAGAACTGGGCTGCCGCCCGGCTGGAAAACACACACATCTAGTCATCATCCGTTCGGGGTGACAGGACTGGATAAGGCATGGTTCCTGCCCACAGGTGGCTCAAGCCAGCAGCAAGTCAACAATGAGCTGTCACACTTGTCCCTGAGTGTGATCACAGAGACGAGCGCTGGGACGGCAGGGGATTCGGGGAGCCCTCTGCCTGAGAGGTGACCCCGTCCTGGGCCCCCCAAGTCAGGTGGTTTGGTCGGTGCCAAGAAGAGCTGTCACCAGCACTGGCCACTCAGGACGCAGGGTCCCGAGTCAGCCGCTGAACAGGTGCGCGGCGGCCTGCCCCTGCCCCCACCACAGCCACGGCCGCACCGCTCCCTTTGGTACCAACCAGCTCGCTTTCAAAATCTTGTTGCCCGAAAGAGGAAGATGACGACAATCTCTGGAATCTGGACTCACTAGAAACACAAAAGGGAAGAATGACAGAAAAGTCTACACCTGACATCCCAGACCAAAGCTACAAGCCTGCCTCAAGGTCTGGCACAAGATACAACTTGGCCCACGAAATGTGCGGATGCCCACACCTGGGCATGTGAGACGTGAAACTCTGCCTCACAGGGGTGAGTGACGAGGGCTCGGGCATGAGCACCGCCCCTGTGCCCCGCGCCCTGGGGCCTCAGGGCCGCAATGCCCATGGGTCCACCTAATGGAACTTCAGAGCGTCGACGTATGCGATCTGCTTCCCAATGTGTTAAATAAAACTTGGAACAAATGCTGCATTTTGTCCAATCTACGACACCACCACTTGTAAGGGACGTAACTATTTTATGGCTTTGCTTTCGCAAATGCTGGCACTGAGGCTGCAAGGAAGGAAGGTGCTCGAACACGCCGCGCCCCTGCCGCACAGACCACGTTTCAACACGGCCCATGGAGCAAGAGCGGCGGGGGTCGCCCGAGGAGGCCCTGGGGGGCAGGGTGGCCCGGCACACTTGCGTTTCCCCTGTGGCTTCCTATTCTGCACCTGACGCAAGATCCTGGCGTGTGGCAACAGCTGGGGTTGGAGATGCCAGGGCGCAGGCCTAGACTCCGACCCCCCCTTCAGGTGTCATGAGCCGTCAGGGCCTGAGGTGGGGGGTCTGGCCAAGGGGGGCCCTGCTCGGCAGACTCCCCGACGCTGGCTGAGCGAGGGCCACCAGCCCACACCGACCCCGAGCGAGGACAGGGGCAGCTCCCCTCACCCGCCTTGCCTCGCCCCCAGCCCCAAACTAGCTCATTTCCAAGAAGAGACACTTGAAGACGTTCAAGGTGAGAAAGCCATCGGCATCCTTCTCAGCTGCTGACGAAAGCCCTACGTGTGCAAGCAGCTAGATTTCCTCCACGGCCTGAAGCCAACGGCACTTCTGGCACCGGCCTGGCAACGGACACGGTCTCATGTCAGCGTCTCGTGTGGGCCGCCCGCCCGTCCCGGCGACACCCACGCACACACACTCGAGGTGACGTGTCCTTGTTACCTGTCTGCTTCTGACACCAGGGCAATGCGGCCATAATCCCAGAATCTCCTTCTTATGATGGAAAACACCAAAATTAAACACTAAAAGGAGAAAAGAAACCAAATCAGGTGACCTGTACTGAGCGCAGGACAGCTCACCCCGTTCCCCAGCGCCCGTCCCCGGTGCCCGAGGCACGACGGCATCCACAGTGCGCTGGGCTTCCCCCGTGCCCCCTCGTCCTGCGCACCGGCCCTGTTCTCCACTCTTCTTCCCCAGCCCCGACAGGCCTTCCGCTGCTCCTGAGCAGGGAGACAAGCTCTGGGCCCACAGCTGCCCTGGGGACCAGCCTCCCTCCTCACTTCACACCGACATGCAGGTTTAATTACAAGGAGGCAGAGCTGCCCCAGGCTGAGCCGCAGCGGTGACACCTTTGCCTGGTGTCTGGTTCTCCCAGAGGGGCCATGCCCACCGAGGACCTGGTGCTCCGGCGGGCTCGGCCTCCACTAGCTGGGGCCCTCGGCCCATTTCCCTAACCCCCTTTAGCTCTAAAATCTGTACATTCTAGCTCTCTCCTCCCTCCCCACACCTCGGCCTTGGCCGGTCCTCAGACCCGCTGGGCCTCTCCCCGCTCCCTGAACAGGCTCCCTCCCTCAAGATTCAGGGAGGGCGCCTGGGTGGCTCAGATGGTTAAGCGTCTGCCTTCGGCTCAGGTCATGATCCCAGGGTCCTGGGATCGAGTCCCACATCGGGCTCCCG